TTAGCAATGTCATTGTACCAATTCAATTGTACAACTACTATTTATTATTATAAGCCAATAATAGTCGTAAACATTTTAAATCATCATATAGGTACCTATTCGTTTGTTTTTGGAATTTTTTTGTTTTATCATTATATACTTGTAATCTATAAATTATAATATGTAATTACGACACGAGTCATCGCAGCGGGGCCCAGTATCAAATATCGAAAAATATTTAAGAAATCAAGATAATTAAATTTTTTTGTAAATTAAACAAGTATGAATACGGTTACAAAAAATAATATGTTTATCAATCCGCAACCGACGGCGTTATACTGTGCATCAATTAAATTGGGCTCTCGTTTAATTGTGCGTAATACTATCGAACGTTTACATAATTATAGCTGGCATTCTTAACAGACGATTTATCACGACTGTTTAACAAAACTATATTATAGCTCTATGAGTTTTCCAATCAAAATCCACCGTATTAGGTCATTGACGTTATTGTATTGTGTATGATGGGTACCTCTACTACTTGTTTTCATAATATGCGCGATGTATACAGGGTATGACAGAAATATGTGACAAACGAATACTTATCGTGAAACGTATGGCAAAAACGGTGAAATTTTTATGGATAGTGAACGGTTTCAGAAATATACTCGCGTCAGGATATTCCCAAAAAATGATGATGTTTTGAAAAAGTTTTAAGTTTTGAATTAATTTTATATTATGGGTAAGCACTCCGAAAACTATTTTTTTTAATAGCTCTAAAAATTAAACTACCCGACTTAGATAAATGTTTTTACCATCAAAATAATCGTTATTATATTTAGATTTGCGATTTGCTCTTCTTGTCGTTTTTAAAAATTTTTGTTTTAATTTTCAGTTTCAAGAAATCAGTATAAAAAATATATATACTGTAAATATAGCACGAGTTATAAGTTTATAGGTAAGAAAATTTTTTTTTTTAATATTGATGGTAACAAAAGTTAATGCATTTGTCAGTTATTTCTGTTGCTGCACCCTGTGTTATGTATAGAATGGTCTTGAAGTCCAAAAAAACAAAATATATCTGATTRATTGATAAAATATAAAATATATATTATGTATATAATATGTATTGCACTTGTTGACATGACAACGCATTTTTGCTCGACATTATGTAACTACCTACCTATTATAGGTACTTTAATGCTATTAAATTTTCATAATACTTATCACTTTGATTTTCATAGGCTCATTAAATTGATTAACAACAGACAATACGGGAATGTGTATCCAAGTAACACCGGATATTCATTGGACTGTCTGCTGTCTTCTATTTGGTTTGTTCCATTAATAATAGATTTACAAATTGTAATAACAAAGATTATGCTAAATTAATTAAAATGCAATGAATGAAAAAAAAAAATAATAGATTTAAATTTTGGTTTAATTTATAATTGTTCTTTGGACGACCGTTTGCAATTATTTTTACTCACAATAATTATCAATGATGTGTATTCCTTCAAATGAATATTTAACATAATGTATTACGACGGAACTCATTTTATGAGTATTCCAAAAAGAATATAATCCATCGTCCTCTAGGACGTATATTATATTGTGCGTTTGACTCAGTGCTCGAATGAGAAAAAATTAAGTATAGAAGAGCTCAATCCAACGATTTTGAAAACTTGAGTTTTCCAACTGCACAATTACATACAATCACATACCCGTGGGGAGAGGGCTTTGCCACCACACCCCTCACCAACCTTCACCAACTTTACTTATATTTTGAATACTACTTTTCAGCTAAACATATATTTAAATTGTAATTGTAATATATTATTTCGAACACATCATACTATAATTCCACAGATATGTACAAAAAATTAAAATAGGAATAGAACAGTGTGATATGATAATTAAATGATAAGCAAATCACAAAAATAAAAATATAGGACCATATAAAAATGATAATTAAGTTAATAAACTAATGTCAAAAATGATTTTGATACTAAAAATTGTAAAATTCGTTATCGTTACTTATAATATAATTAACGTAAATTGAAATCAACATTTCAATAAAAATTATTTTGGATATGTGTCGTTCGCCCCCCCCCACCCTCCGTTTATATGAAAAAATATAGGTAGAGCAAACGAAAAAAAAAATAAGCAAGNCTGATGATAATTCGTCAATATTTTATACTGATTTATACCGAGCATTTATTCGAGAACTGACACTGTTTGTTAATATTTAAAAATAAATAGGTTTGCGATACTCGAATTAATCAGTTTAATCGGTCATACGGATTTTATATATTTTAAGTGACTGAAAATTAAAACGAAAACAAATTTAAGAATTTGAATAGCAAAAAATATTTACACCATCCAAGAAGAATGAAATACTTAATGACAACGTTGTTATTCGTCTCTAAAACAGTATACGTTTTTCGTACTATAGAGATTATTATTTAAGACGCAAAAATCTTTGAATAGTTTTTTCGTTTGTTCTAATTTTACGTTATTAATACCTAATTAACATACTTAAATTTTGAAATAATCGGTGAAATATATACTACTTGTGATGGTTCATAATATTTAAATCTGAAATCACACCGCCCGATTTTGCTGAGATGACAAAAAACAATTTTTTTTTCGTTTAAAAACTTAAATAAAAATCAATTTCTTCTACTCAATTGAACTATCGTTAAGCAAAACAATTAATATTGATTAATATAGTTATGCTCTCGAATAAACAAAATTTAGGTTGATGTTGAGAATATGCTAGCGCAAAAATCGAGTCATTTTAACGTCTTATCAGTTGCGTAATTCGGAATTGTGGTTGGGGTGGGATCATCAAGGGGTGTCCATTTGATTTCATAGATCATAATATTTTATATTAATTTCAAATAATTTTTTTATTATTAACTAAATGCGATGTAAATGGTATAATGATGGTTTTCAAAATTATGTATGTCTCAACTGATCCGTATTTCTTTTTGTCATTTATTATAGTGCTGTTAAGTTATCGTAGTTTTATAGTAGTAAAATAAAAAAAAAATCTCATGATAATGTTTACGAATTCTTATTTTTTATGTTATTTTAAAATCTAAAAATATCTTAAAGCCGAATGTTCACGGGAATTTAATTATGGTTATTTTACTTTTTATTTTAAAAAAAGGCTCCGAGGGAATCCCACAATAATTATACCACTGCGTAGTCTTACGGTTATCGACTGATCGTGATGGCTGTGCGTGAATATTATAATATTATAATTAATAAGAAATAATAATGCCTTTGTAATAATATTATTATATTGAGAAGAAAAAGGGACAACGTACTTGCCAAAATCCAAATAACTGCAGTCTACCGATGACGGCTCAGCGGCGGTTCACAGTGTTTGGCCTGAAGAGTGGGCATCATCGTCGTCTTTGCTTTCTTCTTCTTCTTCTTTTTCGTCTTCGGAATCGCATGTCGCACCACAGCCGCGCTCTAAAGGTCGGCTCCGAATTACTAAATACATGTAGATAGCCAAGTAATGTTTAATTCATTTCGACGTATAATTCGAGTGAGAAAACACTGAAGAGCGAGCGCCGCGACGGAGGACTATTTAAGCTAATTCTAAACGATGTCGATAAAATATGATATATATTATAATTTTTGTGAACTGCTCGGGAAAAGCAAAAAAAAAAAAATTATAATTATTATATTATAACGGCGCGGCGTTATGATTACGATGGTGGCAGACTTGTTAGTAAATTGCCTACCCGTAGTGCCGCCGTATATATCGACGTTACAACGACGACGGTGATTGGACGAGTATTTCATATACCGATGACATGTTATAATATGTGTGTGTGTGTGTGTGTGTGTGTGTGTGTGTGTGTGTGTGAAAATTGGTTACAATGACACCGCGTGGGTAAATAATGGAATAGTAATAAATTCTATAAACTCGTATACAAGGTGTTGTTTCACTTTGGGGTTGATCGCGAATTCCACCGATTACCTACCTACCTGTTTCTCTTTTTTCGTCATAAAATTCTAATTCTGATTGCATCGGACGATTTCCTTCCCTATTCATTTATTAGTATGGCTTCGATTAATAACAGGACGGGTTCAATGTCGTAGACTATTTTGTTTTTCTCCAATCAGTACAGTACAGTTACACGAACTCGTACAGGATGTGTTTCGTGGGTGGTTTTTGACACGTCGATTTGCCTCCAAACAATTTAATAGGTATCCTATTAAATTTAGAAAATAATATATTTTATTTCAAAACATTACTATCATTATATTTGGTAAAATATAAAACCCGTTATTTTGTCATTTGTAGTTTTAATAGTTTTATTATCTATGGTTTTTATTTTATTTATTTATTTTATTTTAATTAATTACCCAAAATATAATAAAAATATTAAAAAATAAAAACCATTTTACATGAATGAGTTTTTTCACAAAAATTACCAAAATATGGAAAAATAGGCAAATAAAAAAAATAAGTTCTAAACTCTTTAGGTTAAGAATAAATTTATTACTCACCATAAACGCATTATGTATAGACAAAAAATATGCAATTTCAATAACTTCTCATCCCTAGTTGTAAGTTATTTATTTTTCAATACATACAATAATCGTTATAAATTTTTGTTTTTTTTTTTATTTCGTTATACTTTAACTGTGCGTACAAATTTTGATTTGATTTTACATATAATAACGATGGTATTTTATAGTTTTATGTATCGTACACAATGTACACACAAATGCAGAATATTGTCTTTTTTAATTAAGTTATTAATTAAATTTTACTATGTTACCTATTCAAATAATGTCTGTGAAATTTATATTAAATTAGTAACTCCGTTGTAGTTGGCATATGTTTGTTTTTGCAGCTCAAAAAAATTTACCAGTGGAATTTATATGTCATAATTTCGACGTTTCTAAATTCGATCCAATCAAAATTCATCATAATATCTAATATTGTAGTTGCCTGAAAAAAATAAGTCATATGAAGATAACAAAAAAAAAAATTTACACATCTAATTGTTTTTATTTATTTATTTTACACTATTATAGGGAAAAAAGCTTCAATATAAGTAAGACATAGTATGTAGGATAATAAATAATAAATTGGTCTTTGGCACATTGAAATAATCTTACATAAATATTATAATATAATATATCTAAATCTACTCAAGACAGCATAATTATTATTTAAGTCTTTTGTATAGGTACATTCTTACATTTAAAAAGTTATTCTAAGACGTTAAGGGACTAAGCGGTACATTTGTGCCGCTTTGTGTTTTTGGATTTCCAAAAGTATTTGTTTGAAACTGAATATTTGTTGGTCGGTATTAATAACAAAATAACATCTATTTTTCGATAAGTCGATTGGAAATCTAATTGTTTGGTGGTTTTTTTTTTAAGTAAGTAACTAAAAGATTTCTTAACTGTTAAATTAACGTAATGAAATATGTATGCACGTAATGTTATTCTTTAAAAATAATTATTAAAAATGTGCACCCATCTCAAAATTTGGACTTGCTTACAGTATTATAAAAAAAAAAAATTCGTTTGGGTAAACAAATTGTGATGATAACATAATATTTGATTATGTTTTTGAACTTATGAACACATCGAATTGACTTAATATTCTAAAATTTGTATAATTATCTTAATATTAACGACTGTATGGTAAAACGTGAGTAATTGTCGAGGTGGATAATATTTGCTCAACGCAATTCTTCTATATTCGTTTTCTTCCAGCATCCGCTCGGAAGTGCCAGCCGTATCGCTTCAATATTTTTGACGTCGTTTGTCAATGTTTTTATGTCTTCTTTTAGTTTGTTAATTAACTGAGCCTATATAAAAAGTAACAAATAAATATTCTCATTATCAAAAATGAAATATAGTTTATTCATACGCTCCGGCGGGTTTTGCGACTTACCTGAGAAATCTTAGCGCTATTGATAGCCGCAAGTTTTTTGTCCAACTCGGCGTTCAACAGCTCCTGTTCGACTGACTCCAATCTGCTGCTGAGTAGACTCAGTTTATCAGTATCTGTCAATAAACAAACATTTCAATCAATTATTTAACGATAACGATTGAGTTTAAATTATATTTTACCCGTAGCAAAATAACAGGTTGAAGCTATCACAAAATTAATATTTAACGTTTAAGTTACCACCAAAATATCAAGAAAAAAGGACATAATTTTGACGATCGTGAATATACACGAAGAAATTTTATAATGTGAACATAATAGTTGATAAACAAAAAAATACTATTTTAAATACTATCAAAAAAGAACCGATTGTATCCGATTAAAACGGAGATTAAAAATAAAGGAACATGCACGGTAAATTATTTAACTTACCGCTGTCAGCGAGATCTAATAGTTCTTTTGATATTTTTTCGACATCCTGCAATGCTTTGTCCACCATTTTTTTGGATTCAGATGATGATGTTTTCGCTTGGCCAATTTTCGTTTTTGCCTAAAATTTACGTAATAATTCACATACAGTTTTTGTTGCAACGAGCATCATATATATTTCTTAAAAACAAAAACGATTTGGTTTTTAGCGATAGGTATAATTATAGAGGCATTTACTTCATCAATGCTTTTTTGATCCTGTTCGAATTGAGTTTCTGCGTCTTTCAAACGTTCAGCAGTGTGCTCAACTCGTTTTATCTGCCCAACACTTTCGTCAAATAACTTGTGGACCTCGGAGGCTAAATCTTCGGCAGCTTTTTTTATTTTATTCGAATCCTACATAGACAAAAAAAAAAATAATAATAATAAATTAAGCATATTGAACACATAAATGGTTCATCACGTTGGCACCTCTTTAGCTTGATCAGCGTATGTTTTTTGGGCTTCTTTGGCGCTATCTCTGGCATGTATGGCACTCAATTCGGCTCCAGCTAACGCCTGTTGGGCACCTATAGTCTTATCGTTGGCCTCTTCTATCAACTGTCTAATTTGTGAAACTTGTCCTAAGGCCTCAGTCGCATTTTTTTTGCTATCTTGCACCTGTTTGTCGAAAGCTGCAACGGAAAATTAAACCGAGCTAATGATAAACCGTTTCAACAACTAGTGTTTCGCAATGTTACACMTCACCTTGTAATGTGCTCAATGTTTGTTGCGCTTCTTCCAAAATCTTTACGCCTAATTTAACCGCTTGATCTGCTTTTTCATAAGAAGCATTTGCTTGTGCCAAAAAGTTTTCCCTGGTTCTTTGCTGCTTCTCGCCTTGAGCTAATGTGATCTCGGATTGTTGTAGCTCTTCGGCAACTTCCTTAATGAGGTTCATAATGTTTTGGTCAGTCTCTTGCATTTTTAATTCATTCTTGATTTGTTCAGCCTAGAAAACAAATTGTTTTAAAACAAAAAAAATGTTCAAATATTAGGATTCTGTTATTTTTTAAGTGATTTTTTAGTAAAAAAAATATTTATCTTACCTCTGCGTTTAAATTGGAAATATTTTGTTTCAAAAGTGTGACATTGACATCTGGTAAGTTTATAGCGTAAATATCTCGATAGATTGTCAACGAATCATTATTGACCATAGTCACCAATTCTTGTGCTTCGTTTGCTTGGTTAATGATTGTATTCAATTTATCCTTTACATAGTTGACTTCCGTATCCAAAGATTTTAATTCTTCACTAAAATACATTAACATTTATTAATGAATAATGATACATTCAAATATGCGAAATATGTATAATTTTTTAATTTAAGTTTATATAAGTGAAAAGTTATCGAATGCAATTAAGATTAAAGAGTGAAAGAGCAGGGAGAATGTGTTCAAGCTGACTAACACTTGAAAACTGGCGAAACTGTAAAATAATTTAACACTAAACTAGCATATGTACCTGATATTTTTCTGTTGATTAACAGCGTCTCTGGTAATGTTATAGGCTTCAAGTGATATATTCATTGCTTTTGCTGCAACAACTCTCATTTTTTCCATTTCTTCCTCTTTTCTAAAAATAATAATATGAATACGGTAAATATGTATAACAATTGTAATATACAGCGTTTCCCAGATTATATTTTATATGAAATACATAAGTAATACTTACGTCGCTAAAAACGTTCTCGCTTCCCTAGCAATCTCAGACATTTGGTCACTCTGTTGTCCGAGTTCGTTACTTTTTGTAACCGCCTTTAGAAGCGACGTGGCTCCTTCGGTTTCAATATACTCCAACGCTCTTTTCAATGTGTTCGCCGATTTGTCATTCATTTTTTCAATGTTCATGATGTTATTTTCAGCCTGTAAAGATTTTTCTTCAGCTATAGTAGTCCAGTTTCCTGTTTGAGCCATTAGATCTTGAATTTCCTTTATTTGGCCATGAAGAGACTCCAATTTGTCACTTGTTGGGATGTTACCTATAAAACATACGCATACATTAAACATTCAACGTCCAGGAACGTTATTGAGAAATCGCAGTTCATAAGCAACTAAAAAAAAAAAATAATAATAATCATAACAAACATGTTTTACACGTACCACCGGTAGCGAATTTAGCATTTTGTTCCAATTCGTCGACTTGCAACTGAACTTCTTTCAATTTTTGTTCGAACTTATCGTCGACTACAACAGTTGGGTTGTTATTAATGTTTTTTAACACATCTTCCAACCTTTTTAAGCTTTCACGATGCTCTTTAACCGCATCTCGAACCAAGTTATAACAGGCTGGACAGTCCACACAACCTCTTTGGCGGTCGTATTTGTTTTCTTTACACTGATCGCAACGTCTTCCCTCCACATTTTCCAAACACTAAATAAATTTTAAAAAATGAGTTAAAATTTAAAGATATTTTAAATTAAAAAATGTAAGATAACAAAAAAGACGCCATTTTTTAGTTAATATTATTTAATAATTTGTTTAGGTTAGGTAAAAAAAATTATATAGTACCTATTCTATACTTAAATTTAATATAACAAAAAAAAAAAAAAACAATTGAGTTTGTATTTTATAAATAGATAGGCACTATACTTCATAACCTTTTTAAAAATAATTATTTACAACACAGATTATATTATAGATTGAAAATACGCTGTACAATGTTTATTTTTATATTTGTACGAATATGACTTTAAGCTCACCGGACACTGTCCATTCGCGTCGCACTGCAAAGACACGGAACCAATGGTATCGCAAGCGCACGATTTACACCCCTCAGCTGAAAATCCGTAGTGATAGGGTTCGCACGCGTCACATTTCTTTCCAGTTATGCCGGGATGACAAATACATTGACCGGTGTTAGTATCACAAGTGTTGTTGATGGAACCCACAGGATCGCACTCGCATGACTGACATCCCTACAAAACATTATTTAATGACATTAATATTATTTTACTAATCATTGACATATTATTGTTAAGAGGTAGGGCTGCACATCTCTCGTGCCCTTCTTTTATAAATTTGCCAAGTATCAACGTTGTTAAAAAGAGATATTTAGTCAGTAAATATATTCACACGAGAGCACCTAATGCGTATGCTATCTTCTCCTGTATATTTATTGTTGTATTCGACGTTGAGAGGATTGGAAACGATCGATTATTTCAACCAAAACGTCTACTAATCTGTGGTAAGTGTGGAAGCACTGGAAGCACTTATCTATTTATATTACAAGCTGTAATCATCACTTACATCAATTTGCATTAAAGGCCTTAAAGGCAGTAGTTATTGGATTCCCTTAAATTTCTTATTCTCTCACACTAGTGACGTATACAGGTGGTATATACAACACGTATAAGTTGTACGATTTATATTTTTTCAACAGTATTGGATTGCTTTAATTTTCTCTCTCTCTCCCTCTTTTTCTCTTTCCCTGCTGTTTTTGCATTCTTTTCTAGGTTTATGACAATAATTTAACGTTAAGAAAAAAATTTCGAATTCAAAAATTCTCGGTCTAAAGTTTTTTAAACGACTCGTTATCATGACTTACGTCTCCGCTAGCTATGTTGAAGTGGCCGACTTCGCACTGGTCACAGTTTACTCCGATCACGTGTGGTTTACATTGGCACTGCCCGGTCAACTGATCGCACGCCAAAGGTCCGAATCCTGTCTCGGTGGTGCCGAGATGGAAACAATCGCAAGGTTTGCAATCGCCTTTTTCGGGAGCAAGAGCGTCCCCGAAGTATCCTGAAAACAAAGGTAACAAGGAATTTAATACTTGGATAGTGTATGTTATTTATTATGTTATGACCATTGCTGAGCTTTTGACATAAAGCAATGCCATTTGACTATAATATAATATAGTAGTGCATAATATTCATATAATAATAAATTGTAAAATATGTTCTGTTTTGCTTGTTGTACGAATTAATATTTAAAGATGTTACACACTACCTTCAAATATTTTTACCTATTTTGTCGATTTTTAGAGTATATAAAAACGTGGGTTTTCAACAATAGACCATTATTTGTGTACAGCCATGATTGGAATTTATAAATCAGTATACATTAATCACATACAAAATATTATGAACTATTATTTTACACGGAATTGTACGACCATTTACCTGGTAGACATTGGTCACACTGCGCTCCACCCGTGTTATAGATGCACTTCAGACATTCGCCAGTTGTCCGATTGCAGTTACCAATTCCGTTTGGATCGACATTCGAATTGCAGTCGCACGATTTGCAAATGCTGATCGGTCCGTTCTTTCCGGTCGGGTCACCGAAATAGCCGTCACTACAGATGTCACATCTGGGGCCTGTGGAAAATCGTGACAGTTAAAATCTCGAAATACTTGAACGAGACACTGTGGCTCCAAGCGTTCGTGATTGCACCGCATGTTTACCTCCATATCCCTTAGGACATTCCAAACAAATGACCGTGTCTTCTCCAATCAAAACGCAACTTCCCTGGTTGGGGCACGGACACAGTTTACAATCGAGCGCGGTACCCTGCATTGCGTTACCGTAGTATCCTTTTGCACACCTGTCGCAGTTTTCACCCGCTGTGTTGTGCTGACAAATGCACCGACCTGCGGGTATTACATTTTGTTCATTTTATTAATATATTGTCATTTATTGTTATAATATGATCATTTGTTTGCAAAACTTATAGGTATGTAGGTCGGTAATAAAAAACGTGAGCACGTAATAATAATATTATCTTTGTATAAATAAAGGCAGTAAAAGTGCCTACCGATAAACACAATTATTTTGAAAATGATTTAAAACGCGTATTTGAATGTACTGGGTAAAAATATTTACTGGGTATTTATAGACGATAAAAATACATTAATGACTATTATTTAAAATAAATTTCCATATTTTGCATACAAATTATAATTTATTATTTGTTACCCATACATAATATTTGAATGTAATAATTATAATAATTTCCACTCTGACATACTATTATACATATAAATACGAATAAAAGTTCTGGAAAATTTACAACATTTTATTTTCATAATGTTTAAATTGTATAGTTTCACCCAAACGTACGCATCTAACTCTAATTTTTATTTTTATTTTTTTTGTGTTAATAATACTAAATAAATTATCCGTAAAAATAAAAAAGTATTTAAGTAGGTAGGTGGTAGGTGCAAATACTATTGAAAAAGTACTCAAAGCACGTACTACTACTCAAGTACCTTACAAGACTGTAGTTAGATACCTATACCTATATAATATTTAATAATGTTGTAATTCATAATAATACTATTATAAAGGTACAAATAAAATCGTTGTTACCTGTATCGGCGTCGCAGATGGAGGCATGACCGTGACAGTTACACGGGACGCACGGTGAGAAAGGACCACCGCTGGTAGGTTCGTGTCGAGAACCAGGTGCGCACGACTCACAGAATTGTCCAATGTATCCTTCGGGACAAGTACACATCTCGACCCAGTTGGCCGGCAACCCTGGAGCGCCGCGCCGGGCAGTCTGCAATGAAACATCGTCCAGAAATCCGACGCCTGTTCGAAAACCATAAATAATATTATATACCTACAAGATGATTCACAAAACATATTGTGCTCGATATGCAAATTTGTTTTCGTACTATGATGAATTTATTCAAAATCTGATTTTTGGAAATTTTAAATATACTTAAACGCCATACTTTAAAGTTATTATTGACATTTTAGTATTACGTAACGAGTATTATATGATGAATGATAATACAAATTTCTGTTCTTCAATAGGTAAGTGAGAACCCCCTTTTTTTACAGTAAATTATTTAGTGAAGATTTTTTTCAAAACTCCGATGTAAGTATCCAATTAAAAATCTAAACGATAGTAGTTCTCCGCAGTTATTAAAATGTTTATACTAAGGATAATATAATGCTTAAAAATACAGTCTTACAAAACTACGAAATCTAGACAGTATATCTATTTTAATTGGGTCGTTTTTACAAATTATAAATGTTAATAAATTAATATAAATTGTTAAAATTGTCGAATCATCACATTCTCCATAATACTGTCTTCCAAACCTTTTATTATAATATGGAACTATTGGACCTATTATATATCCTTTGGAGGTATACAAAGTTAAGCAAATCAAAAACCATTCATTCGAGTTTTGATTTTAATACGTCAAAATGTTCAAAAAAAAATATCTGCTTAATAATTTACATTAAAAGAAGGGATTTTTGTAAAACATACATTTTATCTCCATTCTCCATAACAAACTCATTAAGTCAAAAAAAAAAGATTCAGAAACGCGAAAGCATTGTCTTTAGTATTTAAGAAATTCCAAAGTTAAGACTTCGAATAACTGCACTTTTGAAGAAAAAAGTGGTCCCCTTGAAAACTATATGCATATCGCGTGTATTGCATGAGTGTATTTGCTTGTCAGAAGTGTACGTACCTCTATCGGAATATGTTCCTCGTATTTTGATGGCTGTCAGATTCGACAAAACGCTGAAGAAATCACGTGCAGACAGCCTGGGCTGCCATCCGTAGTCCGGGTTCTCGTGAAGGCGGAATTTGTACATTTTCGGCTATAAGTAGGAGGAATAAATGACAATACCGTTAAGTTGATAATTTATTATAGATGACCAATAGTTGCGCTAAAAATGATCTTTTTGTATACCGATTGCGCGTTCGGCCATTGACTGATCAATATAATAAAATTGCATTAATCAATAATAGTTATGAGTCATTTGCAAATGATGAATATACAATATCAGCTTTAGTTACTTTACTTCAATAAAATAAAAACACATAATAGGTAGTGTATTTAAAAAATAAATGAAAACTAGATTTCGCCTTTCGACGATCACCGCTGCGATATTTTGGTTTTATTAAAATTACGTTTTATAAAAGCTCTATACTGCAGTAGACTGCAAATCAACTATAAATAACATTTTAAACGTAAAAATACTATTTATTATCGAAAACTAAAAATATTTGACCAGTCACTTGGTAACCCATTGAGTTCAATATATTATGAGTTTTTAATTTTCAATTATTTTAATAATCAATATGATTCAATGTCACAGAATTTGACAAAAACATATTTTTCGTGCCTGAAAGTAAAATTAAAAGGTAAGCTCCGATATATTGACCGTATAAAATATAAGCAGCGTAATTGGTACACTGATCCTAGTACAGTAGAAACTAGAAGGTACATTTTATTTCATTTTAAGCACAAATACTCTAAAACATAACGACTGACAAGACGTCGTTTACCGTGTCGGAAGGCAATGGGTTTCCTTGTCCGAATATCGCTTGGGTGACGCGAAGACCGGCACCGCCCTCCAGAATGATGTCGTAGATTGTCGGATCGGGACTGTTTTCACCGATGCTGAGTTTGAAGGTCAAATCGTGGTTGTAACTGGAACGCTGGTCCCCGAGGAACTTGTCTATAGATGAATCATAATATATTTGGGAGATTATAGATCCGCGAAGAGCATAGGGTAGGTAGATGAATTTTTAATAATGGTCAACCACTTACCCGGTGCCAATAAGTAAACGGCGTCCTTCGACGGCGAGGAAATCTCCAACGACTGTTTGAAAGGACTGTGGACCGGCAAAACCGTTCTACCAAAGATGTCCGAACCGTTCCATCGCTCGTTGCCCCGGACGAATACGCTCTCGACGGAAACTTAAAACACGTGTAAATATACAGATGACGCGGTGAAGGTACAGACACTCCACGTGAATGAATAACAAAAATTTTATTGTACGCTTAGAGCGTAGTTAAGTATTGTACAATGACGATATAAAAAAAAAAATAATAATAATAAATAAAACAATAATATGTTATTATACTAGGTACCTCTGGAATAACCTGGAGCGGACTGGCACACCGAAGAATGTCCATAGCAGAAACAAGGCGTACAACCAAATAAATTGTCTTCGTCCAAGTTGAAGAAACCTGGTTTACATCTGTGCAATAAAATAACGATATATTGTTTTATCGATTGCAAAAATAAAAATAAAATTAATAAATATAACATGCATATCCAAACGCGTAATTGTGTTTTATTATTTTCCCCATTACTATATTATGTATACCTATACCTAGGTGTATACGATAAATCAAAAGAGTAATATATATTTCTTTATGATACATAATCCTAACAATAATAAAAGGTTTTAGACGTTTTAGTACATATCTTGTATGTTATTGAATACGATCGACGAGTGACTTATGAATTTTACATTGCAGTGGATAATGAGTCTAAATAAAGGGAGAAATGTTTTCAGGCCAATCATAGTGTTTCTATACTATAGCGACGGGGAAGAAGAACCGTGAAAAGTGCACTAAAAAACAATCGAATTTAAAACGATAGTAACAATAATAATATCATTGTAATAATATTACTGATGGGATTTTTTTCGTCGTGCGACAGACAGGTGTGTCGAATGAAATGACGTGCGTTGCACACTCACTTGTTGCATTGAATGCCCTCAACGTTCTCTTTGCAAATGCAATTTCCGTTTTCAGCCTCACACCTCGGCTCGTTGTCCAGACTACCGGCCACGGTACACCCGCACGGTTTACATCCAGTAGGTCCGAAATCAAAGTGGTTCTCGGCGCACCGATCGCATTTGTCGCCTGCCACGCCTGCACGACATTGACACTTGCCTTCGGAGTTGCACTGCAACGACCACGACCCTGCAGTACAACGAGAATCATCATCGGTAAGTGAAAATACAAACAAAATAAATCTAAAAACTCTCAGGAAAACCAGTAAAACGTCCGAGAGAACCGTACGTATAATAGTAAAACGTCCGTCGGTCGACGCACTCTACACTCACCGATTTCGTCGCACTCGCACGGCGAACAATGCGATTCGCCCTTCTTCTGGTAGTAGTTCTCCCTGCACCGCTCACAGTTTGCTCCGTCCCGGTTGCCGGCGCAGTCTAGACAGTGTCCTCCGTGTCCGGTCCGGTCGTACAGCTCTTTGTCGAAGAAGCACCGGTGAGAAAACTCGTTGCAATTGCATTCTGAAAACGGTATATAAAAAAAAATCCGGTGAATTATTATTATTATTACACTTTTATTGGAGTTTCACATGACTTTTCGAGCCATGAATATCGATGGCGGGTGAAAT